AAACTAGAGCTTTTTGATACCAAATCACATCATGACATTTTTATGGTGTTCCTCAGGGTCCTGGTGCCTCAATGTGGTATTTTGGAGGGATTTTTGACCATTTGTATCAGTTTTCTAGTGGTCAAAAATGGTTACATTTTGTACAAAATCTGCATAACAAATGCCATCGACCCAAAAATGGCTTGAGAAGTAACTGAGTATGTGAATAGCTATCATATACTTGTATCATAATGGTCTACCATGGTCTATGGGGCATATACTGTTAACCTGCTGTCTCTCACTAAAGACAACCTGCCCCCCAAAAAAGACTACATTGGTAGGGAGGGCTGGAGTGGAAGAGGTTAAACCTGTGAAGGAGAAAGCAACTCAACTCTTCTAAGAAGGTCATTTGGATTATGACTTGAATGTGGGGTTACCGGTCAGATTACACACATTTGAGTGCATGTGTGATGAGTACTTACCGGTGTATGGGGTCTCCGTTTTTAAAGAGTGTCCCAGACCCTGAACCAGACAGAAAGAACCAGCAGTTACAGAAATCAGACACAAACTCATGTTAATTAATGTAAGGAGGTCAGAACCTGCTCCCCAAACACACACATATGGACCAGTGTCCTCTTGGGTTACACCTCAAAATAGACAGTCTGGATCGTCAGCAGTCTCACCTCTGTGGCTGAACAGCTCGGTGAGCAGCGTGTCCGCGGAGGTGATCACCGCGGTCGATTCAGTCGGCAGCTGGTTGAGCAGTCGGGCTATGGTGGTCACTCTTCGCCGCTCTGTGGTGCTCAGCCACGCCGCTGTGGACAAACTGGGCAGGTCGCTAGGCAATGACACCGTGCCGAGCACCTGTGGCATAAATAGACAGTGTTCAGGAGAAAGTTGCATGTTTTCAATCTTTCAAACTTGCAAACCTGACAATGGACACTACATACACTGCTCAAAAAAATTAAAAAGGTAAATAAATCACACATCGGATCTCGATGGACAAAATATTCAAGTTCAAAATCTTTACTGTACAACATTGTGTAATTTGTTGAGTACAAAATGACGTAACAACTGTCAATGGAAACCAAAATCGGCAACTGATTGAGGGCTGGATTCAAAATCACACCGAAAATCAAAGTAAACAATTGAAATCACAGGCTGATCCAACTAATGTGAATGTGTGAATTTCATCACAGTAACTCATAATGTGACTCAGTGTGTATGGCCCCCACATGCCTGTATGCACTCCCAACAATGTCTGGGCATGCTCCCGATGAGATGCCGGATGGTGTCCTGGGGGATCTCCTCCCAGACCTGGATCAGGGCATCAGTGAGCTCTGTGGCGCTACTTGGAGGCGTTGGATGCACGATACACAACATCCCAGATGTTCTCAATTGGATTCAGGTCTAGGGAACTTGAGGGCCAGTCAATGGCATCAATGCCTTCCTCATCCAGGAACTGCCTACACACTCTGGCTACACGAGGCCAGGCATTGTCCTGCACCATGAGCAACCCCGGGCCCACTGCACCAGTGTAAGGTCTGACAATGGCTCTGAGGATTTCAACCCGTGCCCAACAGCAGTCAGGGTACCACTGGCTAGCACATGGTCTGTGCGACCCTCCAAGGATATGCCTCCCCAGACCATCACTGACCCACCGCCATCGTGCTGGATGATGTTGCAGGCAGCATTACGTTCACCACAGCGTCTCCAGACTCTTTCACGTCTGTCACATGTGCTCAGTGTGAGCCTGCTCTCATCTGTGAAGAGAACAGGGCGCCAATGGCGTACCTGCCAATTCTGGAGTTCTCTGGCGAATGCCAATCAAAGTGCAAGGTGCTTGGGCTGTGAGCACATGCCACTAGAGGATGTCGGGCCCTCATGCATAAGGAGAGAGCTGTTGTCTGTGGCCACCACCTGCAAAACCATTCCCTTTCTGGGGGTTGTCTTGCTGTTGCCTCTCCAGTGCACCTGTTGTCACTTTCATTTGCAACAAAACAGGTGAAATTGATTCACAGTCGCTTATGCTTACTAACTGCATAGATTGATATCCCTGAAGTTTAACTGACTTGGTGTTATACCGTGATGATTAAGTGTTCCCTTAATTTTTTGGAGCAGTGTATATGGAAGTGCTGGTATAGCCGAATGTCGTGCCTTGCGTTCTTGGCTGCAGAGGCCTCCCGAGTTGTTCAGGAACATGACTTTGTGGGGTTGCAGGGCTCTGGAAATAGCTGCCGTCACCTCTATCGGGTCCAACATTACTGAGCAACCTCTCCCGTCCCTCCCCACCGGACAAACCAACGGGATAGTCCCGCAGTCCACGCTCCACTGGAGGAGGCTGGTGTCCACAGCAACGGAGGATGGGGCACTGCAAGGGAGAGGAGCAGGAAGGGGATGAAGGCGAGGTTAACAGAAGAAGAAGAGAGAGAGCATCAAAAGGATGGAAGAAAATCAGTGGAGGAAAACTAGTGTCACGATGGCTGTTTCCACTTGTTAATGCGTTAACTGTATTTTTTAGGTACGTTCATCACAATAAAAGTTAGCTTTGGACCTATATTTATTAAAAACATCATTAAAACATCCGAGTTTTACAATGACCAATACACATAAGGGACAGACATCTGACAGAGCCAGGTACTAAAGGCAACAAAAAGAGACATTTTTTAATCAAGCCATCAAAATGTCACATACTGATACTGATGGTGTGACAGTGGGTTCTACTGGCTCAGCGAATGATGGCAACTCTACAATGCCTGCATCAGTTCTAAAAACTTAAATGTTCTTAAAACTGATACAAATATTGCAGTGATGAATATACTGTCAGCTCCTTACTGAACAATTAAAAACAACTGTGAATGGATGGACACTACAGCGTATGGCTGCACAGCATTAAACTCAGTACTCCTCGACCCTGACCTGCTTCCGCTCGGGGCTTCGTGCAGTAGGAGGAAGGACTCGGCGGAGAAGAGCGGCAGGACGGTGGCCGAGTGCTGCTGCAGAGCCTCCGTCAGCTGCTGGCTCCGGCCCACCAGCTCTCGGGTGCAGCGAGACCCGGGCACTGCCTCCTTGGGCCCCATCTCCTCGTACTCAGACCAGCCCATCACCACCACGGGCTTCATATCCATCCGCTGCAGGAAGGAGAGCCCAAAGGCCAGTCTCTGAACCATTTCCCTGCTGTCGAATACTGAGCTGTCCACCTGGGAGAGACAGAGTTAGTTAGTAAGCACTGTCTCAAACTAAGTAGTTCTCTAAAAGGGGTTGTTCAGTCCTTTCCTATAGTTGACCATCTCGTGTCACAGATTTGTTTGTAAAAGCTCCGTTAAATTGTCAGCTTTCCTCAGTTTCATAGAGTCACAGTGGCTTTACTTTCTTTGCTTGTAGTCATGTTTTTGTGGCTCATTTTTGGGGTTAAGTTTCCTCTTCTTATTTTTTGTTGGTTTAGGAAGGTCTGATGGATTTAGACCCAAATGAGAACTTAACTTTCCATCTCTTGACTGCACTTCAACAAGCCTTAGCAAGACTGTTAGACCAGACAAGTGTCAGTTTGTTTGATGTTTCTGACAATGGGTTAAAAGTGTTGTTTCCAGGCCTGGTGTTTACTGGCTGAATTTTCTGATTTAACTATTTGTCTGCACTGTTTTTATCTACAAATGCTGCGAGTCGCCTTCCATTGAAGTTTCCATTGTTGCTATATAGACCAGAATGGAAAAACTGGCTCTAGATCAGGTCATTCAGATATTTTGCGCATTTCGTGGGCATTGCAGTTTCTCACTTGAACCTGGAAGAGTATGGAGGACTGAAAGTGCCACAATTAAATAAATAAATACACCATTAAATAATTACTTAAATGTGTCATTAATTAATTCAAATACCGATTCATTTAATGTAAAATACATATATAATTATTTCACTATTTACATTTACATTTCATGGTCCTGCGTTGCAGTGCTTCATGAATTACTTAAAACTGTCAAAGCCAGCCATCAAACTCAGAGGGTGGGGCCAACGCGAATCTAGCCTGATCCAATGCTTTGGTCTGAAGTAGAGTGCCTGGAAGATCTTCATGAACTTTCTAGGGCAGAGGTCACTAACAGGCGAGTCTGGACCCAGACACCGTCCTATGCGGACCCAGACCTATAATCAATTCATTATTGAGGATTCTAAATTTTGATGGGGAGCTTCTATTTTAACCAGCACAGCTTTTTTAGTCTTTACGGTATTTGTTTAGCAGATCAGGAAGCTCACAGACCAATTGCATGCTAGTTAAGCCATCCCACGTGATGCTGCTCAGCCAATCAAATCTGTTTAAACAGCGCGACTGAATACAGAGATGAGAGCGATGAGAGAGAAGAGACAGACGGAAAGAGAAGTCACAGATACATGGAGAGGAAACGGAGAGATGAGTGAGCGAGAGACAACAGAAGATTTATGGCGCTCTCTAAGAAAATCGAGCTTTTAATGGACAGATTCATTCACATTCATTCTTCCCACTGGGAGCACATAACCAGTGTGTCTCATATGTTCAGAGACCGCGGCGCTGATTAAAAGTGCCAGTGTGAAACGCCACTTGAGACAAAACACAAAGTTTTCATCAAACATACCCACTCAAGTCTGAACAAGGTCACAGAAAATAAGCAGGCTCAGATCCCAATATGATCACTCAACCAGTATCCTGACCAGTGTTGGGAGTAACGGCGTTTAAGTATAATGGCGTTACTCTAACAGCGTTATTTTTTCAGTAACAGAGTAATCTAATTAAGTACTTTTCCCATCGTTGCAACGCCGTTACCGTTACTGAGAATATAAAGTGGCGCGTTACTTGCGGTCCTACAATGTGGTGAATGAAGTGGAGCGGTGTCAGGCTTTCTGACAGCCACACATCAGCTGCCAGGAGAGGGCAGGGTGGTGATGATGACACCGTTGCAGATGCGATGATGATTGGCTGGGTGGACGGATGCCAAGACAGAGACAATGGCGACGAGCCAGCGAAATTCAAAGGTAGCGATATCAAACTGGAAGTACCGACACTACTACTCGCTTACTGAAGTTAAAGGCAAGAATGTTTATGTAACGTGTGAATTTTATTTTCAATATTTATATTTTATATATTTTTATTTCTATGCATATGGCCAGCTGCAATCTATTGAGTTCAAATAAATACCAAATGTTCTAAAATACTGTATATAGTGTTTTTATTCTTTATTCAGTGATTATAAACATCTTTAACGTTATAGAAGATGTTATAGAATATAATTATAGACCATAAAAAATAACATCACAGTTACTTTGCTGAGAAACTAATTACTTTTACAATGTGGTAACTGAGTTACTATCTCAGTTACTTTTTGGGATAAGTAATTTGTAACTACAACTAATTACTTTTTTAAAGTAAGATGACCAACACTGATCCTGACCCATTCATTCACTGCCCAACGAGGGAGAGAGGTTAGAGCTCAATTCTCTCACTGAACAACAGAAAGAGTATAGAAAGATATAAAAGGGAAAGAAAGAGAAACTGTTCAATTGTAAAGATGTGTTGATATTCATTTATAAAATTTGTTGAGACTGTTTATCAAGATATGAAACAGTTAACAAAAAGGGAAACTCAAGCTGCAGCTACACTTTATTTTTCAAAGTTAAACACTTTATTTTATTTGTTAGACTTAGCAGAGGATGTGGAAGCAGGAGCTGCTGACCCAGAGCATGTAGCGAGTAAAGCAGAGGAACTTATTGAAGTTCTTGGAGTTATTTCCGCACTTTCTGACCAAGATATTGACCAGAGTGACTGCAGATTTAGAAGAAGTAGTCCAATAGCGCCACCCAGTGTATTAGAATGTGTTCACTAGCTCTGCATTGATTTGTCTTGGCTTGATGGGCAGGGTAACCAATCAGGAGTTAGGTTCCGCTTACCAACTTTTGATGGGTGAGTTTGACAGTTTTAAGTAATTCATGAAGCACTGCAACGCAGGACCATGAAATGTAAATGTAAATAGTGAAATAATTATATATGTATTTTACATTAAATGAATCGGTATTTGAATTAATTAATGACACATTTAATATATTTATGTATTTAATTCCAATTTTAATTAATTAATGACACATTTAAGTAATTATTTAATGGTGTATTTATTTATTTAATTGTGGCACTTTCAGTCCTCCATAGAAGGGTACAGTGAAGCGAGTGCATTGCAATATGCAACTACACTGCTAGATGCCACCAAATTCTACACACCGGACCTTTAATTATAAATAATAAAGTATAATATTTTACCTCTGGCACCTGCAAGCTTCCATTTACGTAAACTTGACTTGACTTTGTTTTGGATTTTTTTTTTTTTTTTTTTAGAAAGGTCCAGGTGTAAGGTTTAGTAACCATTCTTATTTTCAGGTGATTATACACAAATGAAAAAACATCTGAATATTATATTATATTTCTGACAATAGATCCTTCTAAATGTTACACACTGGACCTTTAAAAACATACAGCCATTATTAACATAATTCAATTTGTGACTCGTTATGAATGAGTATGTAATAATAACAGCTAAGTGAAATAGGCCTACTTACATAGGCAGCATATTCATCTTAATAAACCAAAGTCGATGCTCAATAAACAACAGTTAGTGTGGCTTTAAGAGAAAACTTTCAACATCTTCTATAAACTTTTTTGAATTGATTCAACGTTAGCCCTAACCTCCAGCACGGCAAAAGCAGGAGACTGAGCCGAAGTCGATCTCTGGAACTGAGTCAGCCAGTACCGAGCCTCCCGGGGGTCCCCACCGACTTCGTTGAGAAAAGCCTTCACGTCCCGGTAAATCAGATTCCGGTTGGCGAGCACATTACGGTCTGTGGCGGAGAAATAACCCAGGTGCTCTTGCTGGGCCAGAGCCGCGGTTTTTCCTCCCGTGCCGGCCGCGTCGGAGCTCATCGGTCGGCGCTGTGGCCCCAACATCCTCCGCTGCTGTTGGACGCTGGTCCGGGTCAGCGCCGGGGGAGAGGGGCTCGACAGGTACTTTCCTGCCATCACCACGGCTCGGCAACCGGAGGAACCGCTGTTTACTTTGGCCATGTTGTTTCCTTACAAATTGTCGAATCCCCCGGGCCGACTGTTGAACTTGGGGAGCACCGCATGAGATCCCCGGCGAGTGTTAGCAGCTGTGTGGCTAATTTGGTCAGTCGGCTCGGAAGCCGTAAAGTGTTTCATTCAACTCGCTGCTGCGTCGGCACTTCTCAGGTTTCGATGAGGGGCAGGAGGGGACGGACCTATGTCTATAGGACGGACCATGGGACGGACCACCAGACCGACCCCCAATCAGTGGACTCCAATACTTCTTCTTCTTCCTCGGCTTTTAATGGCGGTTAACAAACAAGCTTGTAGGTACTTTACCGCCACCTGCGGTGTGACCTGGAGCGTGAAGCAGAAGATTGGCACACAATCAGTGACTGGAAGTTTGGATGGAAAAATGGAGGCATTTAAGGGAAAGAAAGGAAAAAAAAAAAACATTACAAGGTAAGCAAAATGCCGAAGCGTTATCAGTGTTCAGAAGAATAGATTTTGTCATTATAAAAATGTCTTTTCCCTCCCTTTTGGTCTGTCATGTTATAGACATACCACCACAACATCATTTATAAACTAAGTGACATATTTTATAGATATTTCATATTTTGAGCAGATTATTTCCTGTTTAGTGAACTTTTAATACAATTCTAAAGGTGAGCCAGCATGCCCCTGTTTGACTTGAATGGAACAGAACCTTAATTGGTATCATCATAACACTTGTGTTTACCCTATTATTTATTATTTAGTTGTCCTTTTGGCCACAGCACACAATAAAAAAATATTCCAGGACAACGTAGATTATTTCCAGGATATTTGGTCATTGTAATCAATTTCCAGGTGTTTCCATGACTGGAAAACTAATCTCAAAATTTCCAGATTTTCAAGTTTTCCAAAATATCTGGGAACACATGTAAATGTGAAATAAGACACAGTACAGATCAGACAAAGCATAGCAATGGCAGAACTGTGGAACATGCCACTTTAGTGCATGTAATTAATTTAGTGCATTAACTTAAAACAATGCAAAAGCAACTAGAAATAGGACTAATGCGTGTGCGCCTGGGTCTACGACTCTTCGACATGAAGGTATCTGTATATTAGGGGTGGAAGAAAATATCGAAATATATTGCATTTATTGTTGTTTTGTGATATTGTATCGACTGTCAAAAACACGATTGATTTTTGTGTTCAAACCCCCAACAGCTAGATAGCAGTGTTGTAAATGTAAACTGAGGGCTGTGATGTTGGATGTTACAGGGATAAATGCAAATGCAGATCTTTACCTTTTTTACTCAGGGTCTGAATACTTATGACCATGTGATATTTCAGTTTTTCTTTTTTAATAAATTTGCAAAAATTTCTACATTTCTGTTTTTTTCTATCAAGATGGGGTGCTGAGTGTACATTAATGAGAAATAAAATGAACTTTTTTGATTTTAGCAAATGGCTGCAATGAAACAAAGAATTTTAAAGGGGTCTGAATACTTTCCGTACCCACTGTATATATAAGAAAGAAGCAGTAATTTCTGCAAAAAAATTATATTTCTTTTGGATAATTATGGTTTTGCTGTATTTATGTGTGATTTGTGATAGTTTATCAGTTTTTTCATTCCTCTGCAAAATTTAAATACTTTCCTGTACCTAAGGGTGCACAGGAAACCACATATTCACTAGATATTGCGCATGTCGAGTGTAGTTTTTTGAAATATGTTTTGCTGTTAACATGGTCAGATATTTAACATGGTGCAGACTCAGACCCAGGAACTTCCTGTACAGAGAAATTCTGACATTATGGTTTGAAAATTGATAATATTTTTTTGGTTTTCTTGTTAAGATATCTGAAGAATTTCATCGGATCACGAGCAAAGACCCCCTGGGGACTTTCAATGCATCCCTTGACAAATTTGGGCCTGGCCTGCTGAAAATCTACAGGTCTAAGAAAGGAGCTTTTGGTCAGGAGATGGAGGACCTCCTTGATCAATTTGATGATCAGGTCAGTGAAGTGCTCCTTTGCCTGGCAGTTTTAGAAGAGCATGAATATACTTTCTTATTAGGAATGATGACATTACAGTACTATACTAATTGAAATACTCATGTTTTCCACTGGATACTTTTAGACATCCGACATTGTGTCCCACTGGAAAACAGCAGCACTGAGAGGCCTGCCTATCTACCTCTGCGAAGATGCAACCAAGTTTTTCCTGAAGTGCTTGGTAAGTAATAGTAACTGCAGGAAAGACAAATAATTCAGGTCATGCAGCTAATTCCTCATTCCCACAAGATGTTTTTAAGGAGTAGTTAATCCAAAATGTAAAAGTACACCTCCCCAGGGCAGTTTATCAGTCCAGATAATTTTGGGGTGAGGGTTGCAGTTTTCCACTTCAGATCCCTTTTTTCTGCTGAGGGGAACACTTGGTCATTTTGGGTGGTGTTTCATCACAAGGTTGGTGGGTGACATTGATTAAAGAAAGAGATTTACTTTTTCTGGTTAATACCTCCACAAGTTAAATGGCAGGTCAGTAGCATGGTACTAAATGTTTAATTTCAAAATCAGTAGAAATGTATTTAGTCTGAATGTTTTTGTTTTTTAAATCTTTCTTAAACAAATCATTAGTTTGAATGCTGAATTTCACTTTATAGCTGCCCATTTTCTTCTGCCTTTTTAACATTTCAACTTATTTTAGCCCTTATGAAGCCAATCATCTCTCTGCTTACAAGTTATACTTTTCAGCTTTAGCATTAACCTTTTCAGCACTCACACATTTTTTTCAAAAAATGCTCTTTCTAGTTTGTCTTACTTTTTCTAAGCTCTTAATAATGTATCTGTTCTTCTTCCTCAGGACACCAACACTTTGGGAATAATCATTATTTACATGTTCAGTAAGCCTAGTGTTGATGTCAAATACTCAGCATGGAGGAAGATTCACCCCAAATGTTATTAGAATATAGAGCAGTATGCATGTTGTTTTTTACACATGTTGTATTTATGATGGTTTTCCTGTGTTCACTGGTAAACTGAATAAAAAATTTCAGATAACATTCAGCTGTAGTCTGTATTATTAATTATCCATCTATTGAGCAGTTTTAAAATAAAATTATAGCAACATAAATTTTGCTTGATTTATAAAGGTAAAATGTATGTTTATTCAACAAGAATATTTGTGTTAGGTGAATCAAGAAATATATACCATTGAAGGAATAATTGTATATTTATACAACAAGAATATCTATGTTTAAAGAAGGTAGAAATACATGACATTGATGGGAAAAATTGTTTATTAATTCAACATAAAAATCTGTGTTTGGTGAAGGTAGAAATACATCGCATTCAAGCAAGAAGTTCTTTATAAGTCTCACAGTATTATCCTCATAAGGTGAACAAAAAGATCCGAGTTGGCAGAACTCTTGGCAAAACTTAAAAACCTTAGTTAAGTCAACAACACCTGGCAAAAGTTGAGAAAACTCAAAAATCTCTTGCATCATGTTGCCTTGATATTTTACGTTTTCTTGACTTTTTCTTTTTTACAGTGCACTGGCTTCTCTTACTTGTTAATTGGTGAAGCTGCTCAGTTTTGGTAACACTATAATATGGTTTCACCTACCAGTTAAAGCTGTAGCTAACCTTTATAAAAAATTAACCTCTGAGTTGAAACTGTCTCTATATTTCTGACAGTAGTTCATGAGACAGTTAGGTCCATATATATTTGGACACTGACACAAGTTCTGTTATTTTAGCTGTTTACCAAAACATATTCAAGATACAGTTATATAATCAATATGGGCTTAAAGTGCAGACTCTCAGCTTTAATTTGAGGGTATTCACATCCAGATTGGAGGGGTTTAGGAATTATAGCTCTTTAACCCTGTAACACCCCTTGTTGTAAAATTACAACGTTACCTTTAGCCATTCTAAAAAACAATCTGTTATATTTTATCTTATGTTTTACCACATTTACATAGTCATTGGGTCCTGTTGTTCAGTCTCACAATGCTATTGGATGGTACATTTGTTTATAAGTCCCGCCTTATGGCCATGATCTCACTCAACTTGTCAAGGTTTCTTTCGAACAACATCTCTTTGTTTCATTGGACTAAATTCATCAGATTCTAGTAAGTAAAATGTCTTTTACATTTTTTTTGGTTGTTATTACAATGTCCAGAGCATGTACATATGTAGTTATTGTGGAATAGATTCATCAAATTTCATTTAGAGCTTGTTATATATTTGTTGCAATTCTACAACACTGGGTGAGTGTGGTAGTCAAAATAGCAGGCTTGTTGCAGTGGGCCCAAACAGGTTGCATTCCCTCCACTACACCACTGCCTCTAACAAAGTATTTTCTTTATACATGGACAGTATACATTCAAACCTTGTGTTGTGTTCTGGTCAAATTTGACTGATTTAAAAGTTTTATCTCTAAAAATGTAGTTAATTTGACCAGACTGACCTAAAATTCCATGACTTTGTCCACAAAGAGGATACCAACAGACAATTCAGTTCTGGGAAAGGTGAAAATGTTCCTGAATGTGGGGTGTGGATATAAGTGGGGGTATGCATGTTTTCCTTTTAGTATGATAATTAGAGAGCACACAACGCAGTATTGTTATGTCAAGGCAGTATTGTTTGACTAAATGGCTGGTGATTGGGATGCATATTTCTTTTAGCATGATAAGTAGAGAGCATAACAAGCTGTCAAGGCAGTATGAAAGTATCCTATCAAGGGGAAATTCAGCAGCATCAAGCAATATATGCAAGGCAAGCCAAACCCATGGGGATTCAAAGTGTGGGTGAGAACTGGAATCTCTGGCATGATGTGTGACGTCTACCAAGGCAATGTCAACGGGAATGCGAGCCAAATCTGAACTTGGATTGTCAGGTGATGTTGTGATGAAGCTTGATTCCACACATCCAGAAGGTCAGAACTACAAAATGTATGCAGACAACTACTTCACCTGTGTTCCATTATTAGTGAAACTCCTTGATCGGGGAATTCATTACGTGGGAACAGCCAGGCAGGTGCGTCTACCCTACTGTAACCTTGAAGACGAGAAGAGCTTGAAGAAAAAGGGGAGATGAAGCTATGACGTCAGAGTGGAGGGGAATCACAACATCTGTGCTGTCAAATGGTATGACAACAGGGCCGTCACACATCCTTTGCTTGAACTGAACCTGTGCAGAAGATTCAACGCTGGGACAAAGCCACCAGAACCTACATTGAAGTTGAGAGGCCTTACATTGTTGGTGCCTACAACAAGTACATGGGAGGTATGGATTTGTTGGACTCATTTACAGCCAAATATAAGTTCCCCATCAAATCCCGTCGCTGGTACATGTACATCTTCTGGCACACCATCATCCTCGCTGTGGTCAATGCATGGCTCCTCTACAAGCGGGACTGCAAAGCTCTCAAGATGTCTAGCAAAGAGACAATGAACAGGAGACAGTTTCAGGCACAGCTAGCATCCTCTCTCATCCTGGTAAACACAACACTTCGAACTCCAAAGAGAGGATGACCATCTTCAGGCAAAGGGAGCCCAGCATCACAGACAGTGACATCAGAAAGCCCTCTGAAGGCTCAGAAGAGACCATCCAAGAGATGTGCACACCTTACATTGGATGTACGCAAGGACCTAGTTGCACATTTCCCAGTGAAGACAGGGAGGGACGCTGCAGACACTGCAATAAAGGATACACCAACACCAATGCAGCAAGTGTGATGTTCGCTTTGCTTTTCAGAGGACAAGAACTGTTTTGGGACTTTCACTAACAATGAAAGTCAGTCATGAAAAGAAAAAAGGAATGAAGAAGTTGCTAGAAAAGCTAGAGTTTTATCCTGTTTAACAGTTTTTTAATAAATGACTTCATAAAAATATGACTAATGTGTGATTATTATTAATGTTATATACCTTTATGGGGCTAAGTAAGCAATCAACCCTGCAAATTAACCCGTAGTTGTTCTGAATTGTTGTTCAGACAACATGAGTACAAATACAGAAATTCTGCTCCCACCTAAGCCCAATGTTGCAATATTACAACATTTCTCTATAAACTTACATAAACATTATTTTTTTAAAAACTCTTTAATTTCTGCATCAAAGGCCTACTACAACAACATCTGAAAGGTAAAATAATTTTTTTTAAAGGTTTTTCTATATTTGGGTCTTACAGGGTTAATATGTAGCTGCCTCTTTTTCAAGGGACCAAAGGTAATTGGACAATTAACTCAAAAGCTATTTCATGGGCTGCATGGGCTAGTCCCCCGTTAACTCATCAACAATTAAGCAGGTAAAAGGTCTGGAGTTGATTCCAGGTGTGGCATTTGCATTTGGAAGCTGTTGCTGTGAACCCACAACATGTGGTCAAAGGAGCTCTCAATGGAAGTGAAACAGCTGAGAAAACAATGATGAGACGTTCTTTGTTTTTTGTTGCTTGTGGCAATTTACTCTGAAGAAGGAGAAGGGTGATTTTAACAATGAACTACGGAAAATCTCCACAATTCGCAAATCTTTTGTCAGCAGATCAGAACCACATTACATAATAATAATAACAACAACAACAACAACCACAATCATTATAATTATTTATCTTAATCACCATTACAGTCACCATTGCCATCACAATCATCCTCATTACTACCATCACCAACATCATTATTTGTTTTATTTATTTATTTGTTTGTTTATTTCCTTCCCCATCTATTTCTCTATTACTTCCTTAAGCCTGTCAATATAGATTTGTTCATGAATGTATTTTTTTAATAATTGCTGAGTGAGAAACAGATTGCAGAAGATGGCCCTGGTTGTGCCGAGGAAAACGCGTTGTTTTCCAGGGAATTATGACAGTCAGAGTGGATTCCATGTCAAGGAGACAGAATGATTCTTCAGTATCGGGGCCAGGATCAGATCTCCTAAGGAGACTCTAATGAGAAACAGTACGCCTCTATGGCGCTTTACCTTTACTTTTGGGAGATGCAATGTTTGATTTGCGGTGTTTAAACCCGAGTCCTCGACATCAGCGGAGCTCTCTTGAACCGAGAGGTAACTGAAGAGCTCTTCATGGTTAAGGCCGATCATACAGCTTTTCCAGGATGCAGTGCACGGGCCTGCAGCGAGTCGTTTGTGGGTGATGCGGCAGCTAGGCGGGGAGCAGGGGTCTCTGAGTCCTTCTCAGAGAAAACCTCAGCGGACTGAGCCTGTATATCCCCTCAGACAGAGGGGATATACAATATCTTCCCCTCAGACAGAGATCTTCCCCTCAGACCAATATCTTCCCCTCAGACAGAGACTCACTCTCCGAGACAGAGATGACGAGAGACATAGTGACCATGAAGCCGAAAGGTAGGATGACAATCGCATTTACAATAATGGTCAGATTAATTAATAACTGAGAAAGTTTACAGAGCAGCAGCAGCAGCAGCAACAATACAGATGCAGGGCAACAGCGGTATTGACAAAGCAGAGGGAGAGCTGGGAAATTGTGCAGTTTAAATAGACCGCCAGATTGGAGGGGAGCACTTGGTTAGTGATTATGGAATAAGGCATGTCATGTGTGTAATCAGCGCAGCTCGAGTTGACTGCCTGAACTAGCTCGCAGGCTTCTCTCCATTTAAGGCTAGTCATATTTAGTTTAACCATCCTACCCTTTAGTGTAGCATAGCAGTGGATACAAGTGATAAAGTTTCATTCGTAAATCTGCTACACTTGAGCGAACTTTTTATCCGTGCCATTAAGAGGAAAAGCATAATAATTCTTATGTGTTTAGCTGTAATTTTGTGTAAAAAAAACAAAAAAAAACATTGGTGGACACATTTTAAAAAATCATTCACATAGATAGCCTTGTAGCTGTAAGCAAGTTGCTGTTTGTATGTATTAAAATGTAATGCTTTAGCAGACTGGCCCATCTTATTGCCTGGTCTTGGTTCCAGGTTGCCCCTATGGAGAGCGACTACTTGGAACAAAATGGCAGTCAATGATAGTGGGTAATTTCAGTGCCCTGCTTTTTTAACCAGTGTATGTCAGAGTTCACATAGGTTGAGGAGTTGTTCCTCTTTAACTAATGTCTTTTAGTATGAATTAATGCAGTATAGCTAATTGTCTGCAAGACTGAATTCTTCCATTTGTGTGGTCTACAGATAAATAAAGAACTTGACCGTTGCACATCAAAAATGATGGATGTAGTCTCATCAAGGACAGGAGCTACAGGAGTGACAATCAGACATATAAAAGACATGCTTCTTCAGATAAACAACATAAACATAAACAACACTGAAACAGGGTCAAAAATCACCCCAAGACATTATGAGGGTTAATATATCTCATTGGTTGAAAATAATTTCATTCTGTGTTGTCACAACTCAAAATGATTGATGGAAACTGTCGGTTAATTTTCTTTGTTGAGACATGACATTTGTTTTTAGAGTGCACCAGTGAAGAAAGTGCCCACCCCTGGGATCAGTGTTATATGAGACAGGCATAACAAACCATGGGGAATAACTTTAAAGAGGGAACCAAGCTGTGTGTGTGTGTGTGTGTGTGTGTGTGTGTGTGTGTGTGTGTGTGTGTGTGTGTGTGTGTGTGTGTGTGTGTGTGTGTGTGTGTGTGTGTGTGCTGTAGCCTACTAGCTGTGTTCAGTTTTCTTTAGGAGGAGACTGAAAGAGAGGAATAGATAAGTTGTGTGAGAATAACAATACATTTAAATTGGATGCTTAGCATTTGCAGTGGCCATGACTCCTCCACTTCCGTGCAGTAATTCCCCATTGTATTACCTGCAGGTGGTCAATTTGCATGTTGGAATAAGTTCATCATCATTATGAAGTTACATTGTTGTTGGCAAGAGTGGAATGAGGAGACAACATGGTAAGAGCTGATGTTTCTGTAATATTTCTATAAGCTGTAAAGATTCTAATGGTGACTTTTGTTGTTTTTCTCAGCTATAGTTGCGATATAGAATCCCTGTAATGCTCCATGTAGTAGTGCCTGTGTTATGCTAGTTTAAAATGGCAACAGCAGTTCCTGGTTTTCTGTTACGGTTCCATATTGAACTGCAGCCTAATTTCAATATGCAAGTTTTTCCTACTTATGCTCCTTTCTGTATTTTCTTTGTACTCAATTTTATCTGTAAATAATTGCTCTGAATTCATGAAAGAGATGAATACACTGTAATACAATAAGTTATTTTAACTTTAAAAATTACTGAAATATTGGATTACATAAAATATTTAAGTAAAGTTTTGATTAAGTCATTTTACTAGGTATTTTATTTTCACAATACAAATGAAATTAATGAATTAATGCTTTTTTCTGTGGGTTGCCACAGCTTCTTGAAATCCTTGACAGTTTGTGAAATTGAGGGAAAGACAAATAAAGGCAATTAAAAGTGCTTGATTTTATATATTTTGTGCAAGAATAGAAACTGAAGTTCCTTTGTCTGCAAGGTTCTATAAAGTCTGCTTGTGTAACAGTAGTTAAGCTCGATAACTATGTCATGTTGGGTCCTTGAATTTGATAGAACTGGTCCTTAGAAAGACCTAGGCGTGGAAACCCTGATTATTTTACAAAGCATGAAAATGTAAGATAAATCAGACACAAATGTATTCAGAAACAAGCGTGTGCATGTTTGGGACTCAAATCGTATATCACACAGACCCAGTGGCGCTCAGAATTAGTTCCGTGCTCCTTCAAATCTTTAGTTGTCAACATACCATCCATAGCACAAAGTTATAATCCCCTATTTCCAGGATGAATTGTTTTATTTCAGATTTAACCATTGCATGTATATTGCTGGAGGCAACTCACATATCCTCCTACAATAGAACAAGTCTCCTGTAGGTAGCTCATTACAGGGGACTCTTTTACACTAGAGAGCCACACCTTGCAACCTGCAACATTTGGACTGAAGAGGAAACTGTGCTGACGATGAAATCCCATAATTAAGTTTCCTTTTGTCAAAGCTCAAGGTTATTGCTGTTTGTTCTTTGGGAACTATGAGCAATTAAAAGTGTGTGTGTCTCTTCACAGATGGCTGTGTTTCAGAAACCACCACTTCAGTTAGCAGCTGTTGTGTGTGTGATCCTCGTGCTTACTTGTTATTTTATAATATTCTATAACTGTCCTGGAGAGCTAATCAAAGAGGAGGTTCCCAGTACACAAGAACTGAGGTAAAGTCCACTCTGTGTCTGTGTGTGGGGGTCGGGGGGTTGCTTTGAAAACGTTTTAATTTCCTCTGTTTCCATTTTAAACAGCCAGTGTTCTGCCTGAATCCATGTTTATCAGAATGATGATATGTTTTAATGCTAAAAAAGTGACTTAAATTCAAAGTGCTCCTGCAGCATACTCTCAGCCAATCAAACATTTTCATATATATTTTATCATAAGAGTCATGAAATGCTAAAAAGCAGTAATAAGTAAAATGGTGTGAATGAATTATAATTCACACCATTATAATTATAGTAACATTTGCAGAATGGCTGTGGCTCCTTTTTCAGCTGCCTTTATAAAAGCTGTGGGTCACATGACATATAGGGCTCCATGGAAACTGCAATGTGTTTGGGTGGGAACCAGGCAGTCATAGCCCTGGGATAAAATTTCAAATATTAGCAGTTGTGTTTTGTTTGTCTTGACTATGCATCGATTCATCTATAGATATGCAAACTAAACTTACTCTACTTCAACCCGCTCTGTCTCTTCTTCTCCGAACCAAATCTGATTTGTTTGAAACTACAGTATAACATGAATAAACCAATGAAACAGACCATAATAGGGCTACAATTCAATTCAATTTTATTTGTATAGCGCCAATTCATAACAGAAGTTATCTCAGGACACTTTTCAAATAGAGTAGGTCTAGACCGAACTCTTTAAAACATTACATTACTACTACTTATCATGTATTTGTGGAATGGTAAGAACACATCAGCTCATCAGTAGAATATGAACAGTCTGAGCTATTATTCTGCTCGAACCCTCAAGTAATGTTGGACAATGTCAGCGATAATATGGCAAAGAAGAGAACAGATATATTATCCTCCACACTTCCAGGTTGGCACCACTCACTACTCCTCCCTCACCTGGTCCGTGCACCTGTTCCCCCGGCTCAGTGCTCCTCAAAGATTGCGTTCCTAAGGACCAGTATGAAGAGCTGGTGAAGCGCAGAGCTAAGGAGTTCCAACAGCAGAAAGCCAGGTAGTGGGTGGGTGGATGGATGGATGGATGAATGGATGGAGTGCTTTCATTTAATTAGCTACTCTCAACCTGCCTTTATTTGGGACATGTCTTTAATTCCTTTTGCACGAAACTCTTGCTCAGCCAAGATGGGAATTATTATCTAATTGTTTATTAAGACCAGTATGAATGTTCGACTCATCATTTTGTAACAGGTCTCAGACAGAGTACCTGTAAACAGATAAGGTTCCTGTAAAACAGGAGAAAGAATGAGACAGGTGACCATTGCTTCTGTTCCGTGTAGCTTTGCTCAGAATTTTATTAAGCAATTTGCAAAATACCTCTTTTCTTTTCTCTTTTATCCTTTTAACTGCATTTTGTCTTTCCATATTCAAATGTTTAATAATAATAAAAAAAAAAAGTCCTTGAGTGACCCACACCACTTAGCTGCTGCAGGGTTTTGAACAGTTCGTTCTCAAATTCTCTCCCTTGGTCGTGATGTAATTTCCATGGGTAGCCGAACCGTGGGATAAAATCATCAGAGTTTCTCTGCAGCCGTTTTTCCAGACTTATTTCAGGTTGCATAGGCTTGTGCAAATCTGGTAAAATGGTCTACAACAACCAGAATGTACTCAAAGCCTCCTTTACTAGACTCCAGGTGAAGGTAGTCAATTGACACAAGCTCTAGGGGTGAGCTGGTGGTAATGCTCCTCATGGGCGCTCTGATGTGTGAAACAGGTTTTTTCCGCTTAATGCAGGGGCATTTTCTTGTCACGTATTACCTCAAAATCCTGTTTCATGTATGGCCAATAAAATCGATCTCTAGCTAGACCCAGGACCCTCTCGGTCCCCATATGACACATGTCATCATGGAGGTGTTTCAGGACCGTAGCTTGGTACTGGCTGGGCAGGACAAGTTGACTCCTTTGATTAGTTTCCCTGTATAGCAGACCATCTTTGAGGTAGAGTTTTTCCCACTCATGCAGGAGTTTCCTGGTCAGACCACTAACTTCCCTTCTCATGTCACTGGTCGGAGTGCTCTTCAGTGTGACAACTGGACTGATGACAGGATCACCTCGCTGAGATTTCATGAGCTCATCACGGCTTATGGTTGGGAGCAGCTCTGGTGACTGTATAGTTGAACTATGCTGCGACAAGTCCAGGACAGCTACATAGGCAACGTCTCGTTGCTTAGCAACTCTGCTGCCTTACCATATTGCCAGAATGACATCTCTAGTTTCGTTCTGCAGGCGTCAGTGTTCTGGACCCATACGCGATCACCCTGAGCTTTCCTCCCTGGCGTTGGTATAGGACAGCACCTAGCCCTTGTTCTGACGCATCTGTACGAAGCACAAAAGGATAACCAAGCACTGGTGGGTTGGACAGGATGTGTATGAGCTGGTCTAGGGCTCTTTGGTGTTCTGTGGCCCACTCCACTGGAGTCCTGGATGACAGCTGTGCCCCTTTCCCTTTCTTTTGTTTGAACTGAGGTATCACCGTAGCAGTGGTTTTGGCCTATAAGAGCTCATACATCAGCTTGGCAACTCTAGCGAAGTCTTGCACGTAAGTCCGGTAATAGCTGAGGAATCCCAGAAGCTTACGGACTTCTCCAACAGTGCTGGGGGTTTTACTTCTCAGAGCCTGGATGACTTCCAGATCGTTGGGGTCGACCCTAACTCCGTCGGCAGAGACCAGTTTTCCTACGTAACGAATCTCTTTTTTGAGGAGCTCGCTCTTGGTTGGTCTGAGTTTCACACTGTGGCATTGGAGGGCCCTGAGGACGCGTCTCAAAACCTCAACATGATCTTCAAATGTCTTAGCATAGCAGAGGACATCATCTAAGTAGGGGATGCAGCACTCATCCCGCAAGGAGTTGAGTATCTCCTCCATGCTCCTCAGAAATGCGGCTGGTGCTTTCGAAAGTCCAAGGGGATACGCACCCACTCATACAAGCCCCATGGAGTGATGAACGCTGTCAGGTGCCGTGACCCCTCAGCAATGAACCCTTGGTGATAGGCTTTCCCCTGATCCAAAATGGAAAACCAGCTGTACCCACCAAGCGTGTCAATAAGATCTTGAATACGGGGCAGGGGGTGTCTATCTGGGACTGTCTTTTGGTTCAGGAGCCTGTAATCAATACAAAGCCTTAAACTCCCGTCCTTCTTGCGCACACAAACTACTGGGGCGGAGTATGGGGACTTTGATTTTACTATCCACTTCTTTGCCAATAAGTCCTGGATATACTCCTTGACTTCTTTGTAGAGGGGCTTGGGAACCGCCACGTAGGATCGCTGTACTGGGATATGAGTTATACTCATTTGGAGGCTTGGAACACATCCTATATCATTGTCATCCCGAGCAAATGCATTTGACTCCTCATAGAGCATTGTTTTCACCAGTTCTTGTTGTTCTTCATTTAAATGACTTAGATCAACAGAGGGGTGCCACAGCTGGGGCGGCTGGTCTGTTTCACCTTTGTCTTCCCCGCCGTCAGGGACAGGTGAGTCGTCACCATTGGCCTCGACGCTGTCTGCCTGGTCTGTTTCCACTATCTTGTCGATGGGCTGGATACTGCCTAACACTGTGAAGTGGTCCAGCATGATGTTATGTTGTGTATGGTTGCCCACCGGGATCTCAACATAAGGCCGCCTGGTGTGGTGAACCTCAACCAGGCCATCACCGAGATCTAGCTGTTCCAGTTTTAGGTCTGGGTGGTTGACCTCGAACAGCGCCACAGGTGAGGTGAAATCAGCCGGTACCTTACATTTGATGCGTGCAACCTGGCCAGGATGGACAACGACTTCATGCCGACCAACTCTCACCAGGGCATGACCATGAGTGGGCTCCTGGGTCTGTATAAAGTTCACAATTGCCTCAGCTTTGTCACTTTCAAGCTGCATGGCATCTTTCAGCAATCTGGCAATAACACTGACAACACCCATTCCACCCTCCTGCCCTAGGATGAGCTCTTTGAACACATTGAACCCCACTATTAGTCTTGCAAGGCTCACCTGACTGACCAGGAAGGGCACTCTGATGGCAAGGTTTGGATCATCATTGCCAGGTAGGTTAAAGGTAAGTTCAACCCATCCAACATATGGTATGGGCTCCCCGTTGGCTGCAGTGAGATCGAGTTCTCTGTCTCCCAAGAGCTCACTGAGAGGACGTACTTCCCGTTGAGGTAAATATTTTTGTTTCCATGAACAATCTATAATACTGACCTGGGAACCAGAGTCTTGAAGAGCAGTCACAGTATAGCCATTCAGATTACATTTCAATAAGCATTTTTCTCCAATTAGTATAGCGACCCGCTGTGATGTTGATTTGTTATCAGCTGGTGGATTAGGAGGGCTGACGACTGATTTGCTGTTATTTGGGTGGGACTTAACACTATTCTCGGTCACAGCTTGTCCCCCTGCCCTGACCGGGGTGCGTTTCCCGATGGCTTAGGTCTTTTTAAGCATCCCACAGTGCGGTGCCCCTCTTCACCGCAAGCAAAGCAGTGATTGAAGTCAGTCCAACTGCTGGCTATGCAGTTAGGGCAGCCATGTGATCTCTCTTTCCTTAGCTGTCTGCTCTGTTTATTGGGACACTGGCAGGTACACTGGGGCTTAGGATCAGATGTTGATTGTTTCGCTGCTGCTGGAGCATTTGACTGTAGGGAGCTTACGACCTGAGTCAGGGCCTGCCCTTGAGCACTCAGCTGATGAAGTAGCTTGTCTTTAGCATTGGTGTCAACGTTACACTTTTCTTTGCTCACCTCACTAGTGTTAATCTCACTACTCTGTACGTGAGCTGCTTTTGGGCGGGTGCCGCGCCCCAAGCGCCTTTTCCTCTCACTCTCCTCATTTGTTGTTTTGGTGACTTGTCTTAGAAGCATCTCGTCAGTAACTGTAGGGTCTGAGAGCAGGGGCCTCAATTCACAACGAATGTCATCATGTTTCTCATTCAAGCCCTGATAGACTGTGCGAAGGAATAGGTTTTGTGCTGTTCTTGCCTCATACTTAATATCTGAATCTGTCTCTCTGGATGTAAATATCACCTTTTGTTTGAGCCCCATCGTTCTATAGAGAAACTGCTGCGGTGTTTCATGCTCATGCTGTTTGGCGTTCATCAATTCCTGAAACAGTTCAGTGCTACTTTTCTCTCCTAGGTGTGGAAGCTCTTTAACTCGGCTATTGTCATCTCATCCTTGCTGGAGAGCATATCCTTGAAGTTGCCGGGCTTTATGATACGAAACACTGCTCTGGCGATCTCACCCTCAGTGTGCTTTTCTTTCAGTCCTAGGTCGATTTGTTTACTGATATTGCTGTAACTTATATCAGATGCATTATCACCGATTTGCCCACCATGAATTTTGAATTATTTCCTCTGTAGGAGAGGAAGGTCTTTAAAAGCGATCATGCTTTCAGTGGTGTTGGTGGAATGTTGGTCAGCGTTTGAGCGAGGTGACAGCATGACATGCGGGCTGTGGGACTGGTTATGGTCATTGTCAGTAGGTTGAGTGTCTGTCATATGCACAGTGGGTGAGGCATCAGCAGGAAGACGAAACAGCCCCTTTTTTGCAGTCCAAACCAGCTTCTTCCTCTCATTGTCATTCAATAATACAACATCCACAATATCAAAAACAAAACCAAAATACATATAGGCTAGTTATAGCAATGTTCTTACTTCTGAATAAAACACACATTTTCCACTTCTTCATAAAGAGTAATTCTGAGTTCAGTATACAATTGCATTAATACATCCTCATTCAGTCAATTAACAGCTACAATTTAGTTCACACCTTCTGAAAACAGTACCTTAACACATAAAACACATCACATATTCCCTTATTTAATCTCACTCAGTGCAAATAACAAGAAACTAGCATATTGCTCTTAATGACGGGGTTGGTTCAGGAGAAATGCATGAGCTGAAGACTTGCACAGTTTAACCATCTTAACTGCTTACAATATAGATATATGACTAACATTCAATTTATTTACACAGGTAACAAAATACTGTACCAAAGAATAATT